AGATGAGACCATGGAGTCAGGAAACAGTGCCGCTAGTCCAGCTGGCGTGCTTTCTGTCTCCCTGTCATGAAACGCTGTTACGTCTTTTGGCGACAAGGACCAAGATATTGTTTTTTCTTTTCCTCTCATTTCTTCTGAAAAATCATGTATTCTTTGTGAGAGGGGGCAACACCTTTTCTGGTTGTATCAGTCTCAGAAGGCCATTTTCTTCTTCTTTTCTGTTGACTTCTTCAGCCGTTCTTCACAAGACAATTTCTTTTTAAAATTATTTTGATTTGTGTATACATGTGTGTCTTTGCACCATGTGTATATAGTACTCATGGAGACCAGAAGAGGGCACTGGGTCCCCAAGAAGTTACAGACAGTTGTTAGCTGCCATGTGAGTGCTGGGGCTTAAACCCAGGTCCTCTGGAAGAGCAGTCAGTGTTCTTAATTGCTGAGCCATGTCTCCAGCTCCCTTCACAAGACAATTTCAGTAAGAAGGAGGAAGCAGAGGAAGCCAAAGAAAGTACTATGAATATGGTATGAAGTTCTCAGCTCATTTATAGGTCAGAATCAGATAGGAATTTGAGACTTTCAATCCAATACAGTCATAAAACAAATGTGGAGACTGGACTGGTTCAGTCTTATCCTTTTATGTAGGAGTTGGAATAAGAAGTCTGTCTCTTAACTCCTACCTCTTTCTACTAACTCGTCCCCAACAAACACATGACCTCCACTGGCCAAACCATGGATTCCATGAAGTCATCCACAAAGCAGACAAGGTGAAGCGATCTGTCACCTTCAATATGGGAAGTTAAGTGAGCTTTGAAGTATTGAAATGTATTCTGTGAGTATTGTTATGAATCTAACTTGGGTCTCATTCTTCAGCAACTTATTTATCGTAAGTGGTATCGTCAATATTTACTTTCTTGCTGTGAAACTGTCAGTCTCCTAAATGTTGGTCCAGGAACTATAAATGATTTATGGTTGGTCATTGAGCCTCTTACCACAAATCACATTAGCCCTGAGGAAGAGAGATATAATCATAGCTCCTTATGAGTCTGTCCCTACATCCAAGAGCTCAGGCCTCCTGCCTGATGTGGCCAACTAATAAGCATGTCCTAAACATTTTAAGTACTCAAAAGAAAACTGAGAAATATAATTAATTCAAAACAAACACTCTTGCTATTCCTCTGCCCACCGACAATAATAGCCATCTTAATAAGCTGCTGAGAATGTGAAGATTATATATATATATATGTATATATATATACATATATATATATAGTTGGCAACACACAGATCAGATTAAATATAGCTTTAACATCTTTTATTTTTATTTTGCTTATAATTAGTGATTGAGTATAGGTGTGCCTGTGCTATACTGAACACATGGAAAGCAGGGAACAATTTTCAGAAATCATTTATTTCCTTTCACCGGGATTCCAGGAAGTGAAATTAGGTCATTGGACTGGCCCAGAATCCCTGTTACCAATGGACCCATCCCACTGGCTCAAGTTTTAATATTTATAATATTCTGTCTTTGTTTTACTTCAATGCATTTTATATAACATTCAGGCTTACCACACATGCAACATGTTTTAGATAGCTTAGATTTAGACTGTCAATAAAACAATGATGTCCTCTGTAAGATCTATAAAAATCCAACTGCTCTGAAGACCTCCACAAAAGAACACGGCTCACTTCTCTCTTATTTCCTATAATGTTTTCTATATTTTCATATATTAAAGTATTTTGTTTTTAAATATATACAAAATAAATCTAAAAAAAAGAAGAGCACGTTTTTACAAGTAAACCTTTGACTACATGTTAGTTGATTTAAGATTTTTCTACAAGACTTGGTCTATAATTTTACTTCAAAATCAAAGCATGCGGGAATCTGACTAGAATGAATGAAAATAAATATTACAATTTGGATTTCCTGGAGTGTTGTAAAACTGACCTTTTTCAAACTAACACGTTTCAAAATTAAATGACTTACAGATTTTAAAGTCACACAACGACCGACCATAAAAAAAAAATGCTAACTGGCCAAAGGACTGTTTTGAGATCAGCACTTTCCCTCACAGCTTCAGGAGAGCAGGGAAAAGATCTCAGAGATCCGCGCAGGCGGAGGTCTAAGCACCGCCATCCCTCTGTAAATGCAGGACTGTCTTGCATTTCGCTCCAGGAAAACTCTTATTACTTCCTAGTCTTGGTCCTGGAAACGTTATCAAGGAAACGGGAATCTGTGACGGAAGTTTGTGCTGTTAAATTTGAAACGCAGCAGGACGAGATTTTAACTTTGCCCTGATGTTCTGCGAGCGACTTTGGGGCACTGAGCACTGAATTTTCTACAACGAACTGATTTGCATGCTTTTGATATTGGCGGAAAGTCTACTGGTGTGCAGTGCAGGTAAGGTCCTACTTGTCAAAGAAAGGAACTATAGCCTTCCAGACCCCTTGACTGTGCTCCTAGGCACTTCCAACAAAATCATAGAGAGAGACAACACCGGCTTCTCTTGAAAGAGACCGCCTCTTCTAAGGTTTTCAATTGTTCGACTGCGGCAGGCGACAGCAGCGCCATCTGGACGTGGCGACTTGAAGCTGCAGGTTTCGTGGTGTGGAAAGAAGGAAAGCTCCGAAGTCTGAGAGAACGGTTTATGCAGACAGACCAGAGCTCAAAACCCACCCAGTGACACCGCCAAAAAGACAGTGGTGTGTGGGTCAAAGTCATGAGTCCTCCCCTCAGGAAATGCTTATAAGGAATACATCTGCTGAAAATGATTTCAGGGTCACATATATTAATTAGACTTCTCTGGAGTTGAAAGAAGAAACCAATTCCCCAGGTGCTTTTGGCACCTGAACACAATCAATGATTCTGTACATCAGCCCCAAGTGGCAGTGACCCAATTGCTGCATGCCACTGACATCTCAGCCCTTGCCAGCTTGTCTCCAACTTGTCTCATAATTTTTCATGAAGATTCAGGCCAGGGCTTAGAAACTAAACTGCCTGAAAGGCAGGAAGGCTGACTCTGTGTGTCTGCTGTGTCTGCTTTCAGGAGCCAGGGATCGCTGTGCCTAGGAATTCTAATCCCAGTGGCAATCAAAAACTTCCATCTCTGGTTTCCTGCCTGTCATCGTTCGCCCGAGCCCATTTTTCAACTTTGGATAGGTCTCGTTGCTGTCCTGAGAGCAGGCCTTTTGGAAAGGGTTCCCTGACACTCAGTTCTTGCTGTTTTTATTCGCTCCAGGTAGCTGCTGCAGAAGCTAAGGCAGAAGGTCCGTTTACTCTGATTCTGGGGACAGATCTCTGGGATGTTGGTAGGGCTGACACAAGTACTGTAGCTTCATGCCATTCGAGCCTTCTTGGAAGCTGATTTCTGCTCTGTCTAGGGAAACGGGAAACCGGGATCCTTGCACTCACTCCTCCCCGTGGACCCCCGCAGTCCTGGATGCTCCGCTGTGCTTGCCACTCAGGCTGTCTAGACTGGTTGCTGGGGTGCAGAGCAGATCGCTCAGACCTCAACAATTGCGGAGTGGCTTCTTTGTCCCCACATAGCAAGTGCCTACGCTAGGACCTCCCGGCTGTAGGTGCTCCCGGAGCTCATTGCTCAGACTGAGTCTCCAAACTAGTGGATGGGGTATGAGAAGGATCAAATCAAGCTAATCCGTCACGGGGTGTGACAGAGCACATCCCTTCTTGACAGTACGTGCAGATTTGTTCTTGAGATGGAGCGAGCGAGTTGCGGGATTAGTGGGATGGACTGTAGTAGAGGCTCGAGGGTAGGCTTGGGACAATTTGATTGAGAACCCCTAAGGACGCCCCCCCGCCCGGGGGCCACAGCGACTGCTGCGAGTGGTTTGTGCTATCTTGGGAGGATACTTGCTTAGAAGTAAAGGGGAATCTGCTAAGATGAGAGCGGCTGATAGTGAGGATGAGGGTTAGCATGGGCAGCGGCGCCGCTGCACCGGCAAGCTAGCCTGCTCTTCAGCTCTTTAGTCAGGGCTCTCAGCTTGGGGGTAGGATGAGGACCCAGAACAAGTGCCACATCTTGGCAAACAGCAACGGGAAGCAAAAGGGCAGCTGTGCAAATCCTGAGGCAGGTAGGCAGGCAGGCAGCCAGACGTGACGAGATAGATAGCCAGGCAGGAAGTGGGGGGTCTACAGCAGAGACTTGGGGGCATCTGGTCCTTCCTGGCACCATCCGTACTACCTGCTCCCCGCTGCTCCAAGCAGGACCCAGCTGAATATGGAACCCCTCCTCACACTGTGATTGAGCTGTACAGCATATTGAGAATTAAGCTGAGTAGATAATTCCCACTAGAGGATAGGAGAGATTTTGCAGCCCAGGAAACACCAAGATTTCTGTCTACTAGCAGGCCCTTCAGAGGGGTCAATGGTACCCATTGAGAAGAGGACCGTGTTGAGTTTTCATGTAGATTTTTGTTTTGTTTTGAGCTGAGAGGGGAAGGGTTTTGTTGTTGTTTGTTTATGCCCGTGGTCACCTAACACGCAACAGCACAACTGCAACAAGACTCAGGTCTAGCAAAGCCCTTACGTACAGCAACAACCACTGCTGCCTACGAGCCTCCCCCTGTGCTATGCTGTAGGAGCCAGCCTTGAAGTTCCATCCCTAAGGATGCCCTGAACTCCTAATTTAGGCGCCAGGGGCTCCGGGGTGGGGATTACAAGTCAGGCAAGCAGCAGAAGTGCCTGAGGTCCTGGACCCTACTTTTCAAGATTCGGAGATTGGTGTCCAGAGATGGTCAAGTCAAGCGGGAAAGAAGAAATAAAATTTACCATGACGTCAAAAGACCTTCCAAATTCCCGCCAATTTTAAGGGTGTTTCTCATTGATCCCACCATCCCCCCCGACTTCCATCAATGACCTCAATTCAAATTCAAATGGTATCATCTTGCTAGATGCTCTGGGTTCTGGAAGCACCGAGGTGACGCAATCTGTCTGGGGCACGGGGCACTTCCACCCATTGGCTGCCCAGCGCTCCGGGACCCCTCCCGACTCACCGCGGCGGGAATAAAAGCAGCTGCCGGCACTGGGAGGCACCGGAGCCACTGCCCAGCTCAGGAGTCACCGCACCGCAACTTCCGCCCGGCCCTAGCAGGACCCTGCAGTCTCTGCTCCAAGCCACCGTTTGCCAGGTGAGCCCTGAGATTCCTGCTCAGGTGTGTCGATCTACTTTCTCTCTTCTCTCTTGCTCTCGCTGTTAGTCCTCTCTAGTTTGTCTTCCCTGCGGGTTCTGGTCTCTGCTAATCCGAGGTTCATGTCAGACCCCGATCCAGGTAGAACCCGAAAGCGCTGGTTCACAGAGCCTTCCTCCGATCTCCCTGGAGTGCGGGCTCTGGTCTCGCCCTAGGCACACCTGATCCGCCAATCTCGGAACTCTCCGCCAGGCACCGCGCACGCAGTCAGGAGTAGCCCTCATCAAACCGTGCATTCAATATTCACGTTTCCCGAGAAACTGGTTCCGAGTCCGGACCAAGCACCAACTGAGCCAGCAGCCTCAATTGTAAACCCAGATTCAGGACCCTGGGGTTACAGAGAAATGTCTTGGGTCTGAAGTTTAGATAGGTTCTTGCAGGCGACTGAGCTGCCAGAGGGTGGAGCGGCTGAGCTGCGCAGGCTTCAATTCCTCACAGATTCCAAGGCAGAAAGATTCCCTCTCCATCGCCTTTCTTTCTCACATTTTTGGGTGTCTGCAAAAGCCCTACAAAGGGAAGATAGCTCTAAGCTTTTCTATGGGGGTAAATGTAGGGACAGAAGGTCCCTGGGACTCCATGGGGCTGACCAACAATTTGATTGACCTACGAGGCAGATGAAATGAAGTGGCACACACCACCACCTTACATCTGTAGAATTTCCCCCAAACCATATGGACTGCCTTCCCACTGGACCTTGCAGTCTTCTTTGCCAGTGAGAAAGCAAAGGTGATGAGAAATGTAGTTACCAGCATGAAGCCAAAATGCCAGGGAGTCACTGGCCGGAGCCCACAGAAGGCCAAGTCTATGGGCACATAGAACTTTGGAATGATGCAAAAGAGAAGCAAATAAAAAGGATGATGTCATTCTTCTCTTGCAGGGAGGTGTCATGGGCTTTCTGAAGTTCTCCCCGTTCCTGGTTGTCAGCATCTTGCTCCTGTACCAAGCAGGCAGTCTCCACGCAGTGCCTTTCGGGTGAGTCTAAGGACAGACACTCTACTGTCCTGGGACTGGACGGATCCTTGCAGTTAACTGTAGAGTGCTGAGCCTTTAAAAACTAGCTCTGTGCAGGGAGATACATGTGTGTACATACACACAGAAGTCCACTATAAACTTTTTCTGATATAAAGATGGAGATCCATCATTTTCAGACAGTAACAGGATGGCATCACTTAACATTGTAAACCTCACATAGCCCCTTAACTCCCAAAATGCTTTGGCCGCTCTTTTCCCCAAATTTAGTATCAATAGTCAAATGTATCTGCTCAATTCATATGAGATATTAATTTCACTCTAATCTGGTAATTTACCAATAAAACTGACTAACTTATAATCTGTTGGTCTATTCTCATATACTTAAAAATCTTAAAAATTGTGTTTATTAAAATGAGCCCCCATTTCAGATTCAACACTAATTATTTTGTCATTTAATTGTTTAATTACGGTTGCACTTACCATTTAACTTGCAAAATTCCTAGCCTGGCTCTAGTGCACCACTAATGAGAACACTGGTTCAAGCCTCTCTGGGAAGTGGCAGGCAGGCCATCAGAGATGGTGCTAGGTTTGCACCCCTCCACAGGTCAACCTTGGAAAGCAGCCCAGGCATGGCCACTCTCAGTGAAGAGGAAGCTCGCCTGCTGGCTGCCCTGGTGCAGGACTATGTGCAGATGAAAGCCAGGGAGCTGGAGCAGGAAGAGGAGCAGGAGGCTGAGGGTTCCAGGTAAGGTCCCATACCCTGCCTAGCACAACCACAGCAAGGAGGTAGGAGAGAATGCCCTGGTCATCTGGCTGCTGCTTAACAAGACATGGGGCCCAGCTATTCTGAGGCTCCGCTGAAGACAGAAGTCATCTGGTGAGACTGTGGTTAAATCACACTGAAAGATTTATTTCTGAAAGCACTTAAGAGAAGATGTGGATCACTGTAGAAAGTAGTTTGCTAATACAGGGGAAATTTCCTGGGGTAGGATGAGTTAAGAATGATAAAAATAAAGTCAAAGTCTGGGAACCTCTGTGTGGATGTGATTGTGGTCACAGAGCCAAGGAAAGCACCCCTTCCTATCCCTGCCTCCCCCTGTGCCCCAAGCCTGGAAACAGACCAACCCTGGCCTGGCTCTAGCACCCAAGAAAAAGCATGCTGACCTGCATCCAAACACCCTGTCGAGCATGAGAGACTGAACAGCACATGGGTGCCAGAAAGAGCCATCCTTTTCCTCTGCCCTTCCCCACACTGTCCTGGCCCACTGCACCCCCAAACCTTCCCCATGGAGTCTGTGTGAGCTGACCTCCACCCACCCTCTGTCCCGGTGTCTAGTCTCCTGCCTGGTTTAACCTGCTGGCTGCACACAGGGTCAGCCCCTGGTGCACATACTGCCTGGCATGTTTCTTCCCTGCAGCCTGGACAGCCCCAGATCTAAGCGGTGTGGGAATCTGAGTACCTGCATGCTGGGCACATACACACAGGACCTCAACAAGTTTCACACCTTCCCCCAAACTGCAATTGGGGTTGGAGCACCTGGCAAGAAAAGGGATGTGGCCAAGGACCTGGAGATACACCATCACACCCATTTTGGCAACTAAGCTTCTCCTCTCCTTTCTGATTTCTCTTTGCTTTCTTCCTATAATTTGATGTATGTAGTTCCTCTCTGGTTGCTCTCCGGGCTATTACTGGTTGCTTTCCTGAGGCAAAGGATGATATCTGGAATCCCCAGTGGGTGAGGAGAAAGGAGGAGTCACAGGCTGAAAGGGAATCACCCAGGAAGACAGTAGAGAGCAAGGGCTGGCCTCTGGCTTCCTAGCAGAGCTTCTCAGTCTTGCTTCTGAAAGTGTTGGTCATTCGGGAAATAAAATTATTTTTCTAAAAAGATTTGAGCCATGGTGGTCATTGCTCTAGCCCACATCTCAGGCTTCATGGAGTTCAGGACTTGAGGTTAGAAGTAGTCTTAGCCCTAAGGTTAACCAAACAGTTCTGGGAGTGGTGCCCATGACTCAGCTCAAGCAGTAGCAAGAGAGGCGCCAAGGAGCAGGTAAGCATTGCTGGGATGGATGCTCCAACTCCGCTCTTCATTCAGGTAAGACTCAGGGAGGGGGTTCCACTTTACTAAGGGAGGGGACACTTGTGAGACTGGGACATGTATTCTACAGTCCTTGTGAATGGGCTCAGAGGCAGCATCAAAATTCACTCTAGATTTATACATCCTGGCCTAATTTTATTTATATGGCCATGATTGACCCTGTGTTCTATGGTAAGTCACCCCAAAATCCACTTTGAGCTTTCTAATGCCTCTGGGACTATCTAAGGGAAGCAATCACAGCATTTCCCATAATGGCCTTGTGATTGTCTATTCTGATAACCATGTTTGGGAGGAACACTTAAAGCTAATTGGTGCTTTTGAGAGCAGCAATAGTCTCATGATAGTTGCAAGGGGCAGACACCTCCCAGCCTCACTGACAGGCATCCCCCTCTCTCTCTCCCTCTTCCTCTCTCTCTCTCTCTCTCTCTCTCTCTCTCTCTCTCTCTCTCCATCTTGAATATCAGCATTACTGCCCAGAAGAGATCCTGCAACACTGCCACCTGTGTGACCCATCGGCTAGCGGGTTTGCTGAGCAGGTCAGGGGGTGTGGTGAAGGACAACTTCGTGCCCACCAATGTGGGCTCTGAAGCCTTTGGCCGACGCCGCAGGGACCTTCAGGCCTGAGCAGATAATGGTCCCCGGAATAAAGGTGACTTTATTGTACAACTAGTGGTGAAAATAGATGTCTACATACTTGGGGACATAAGCCATACTCTGGATGTCACTGGGGCAGCAAATCGGATCCCATCTCATAGATTTTTTAGTCCCTAGCCCTAACCTTCCCTTCTCCCAGGCGATCTGCTCTGCCTCTTCTGTCTCTCCTGTGATGCTGTGCTCTAGGACCAAGCGGGGCAGATACTGTATATTCATCACTGTAATTGTAAATATTATTTTTGTTCAAAAGCCAGTGACATCATCTTTTAGTATATACTACAGTTTAAGGGAAGCCAAAGGTTCGAGAACCGTCTTTGCTCTCTACTAGGTACCACGGAACAGTCACTTAACTCTCACTGAGCTTCAAATTTCTTTCTTTATAAACTGGGGACATCATCAGGCCCATCCTCCCAGTATTAATAGAACACTAAATGAAATAACGTCAAGAGTTTGACAATCAATAGCTAAACTTTGTTCTTTTCTTTTTCCCCTCCTAGGTTATAATAAAGATAAACTCAGATTCTTCTCGTGTGTTATTAAAGTCGTGTGTAGGAAAGGCTGATGGAACACATACATATTTGCATCCTTCTTGGTGTTGAAAACCCCTCTCCCTTGGACAGGAACTCAAGCTAAGTGCAGAGTGAGCTCATTATAGTTGCCTATTGTGCATCATGTTATATGTGGTTCTGTCTATCAGTAAACATGACAGCATGGCTCCGGCTTATCTGGTAGCACATCTGATTCCCATAAACCAGCCTGTTGATGTTGACAACTCTGCTAAACCTCAAGGGAATTGAAACCATCGCCTTCTGGGGACACATGGTAGGGTTGGGACTTAATGGGCCTATGTGTTGAAAGAAATGTCATTGTTGTCACTTGTGAACTTGCTCAAAATTAAAAAATGTATTTTCGATATCCTCAAGTGGAGTCTCTGCTGTTACTTACATTGCTTTTCCCAAGAGAGCTTTGGGGCCTGGGAGCACTTTGTTTAAGCAAAGGCATTGTGCTTGGGTGTTTCTTGGTGCCTTAGAATCTGAGTTCCTGATTAACCTCCTCCATTTATGAGAATGTTGTGTATGTCAAAGAGGACAATACACTTTTATTTTCAGAGAGTGACCTGGCTCCCAGCCCCAGAGGTTACCTGTAACTCTTCATTTCTAAGGTTTGATCTTACTTACCCCTAACTTTTATTCCCATAAAAGTCTTTTTCTTGGCCTACAAAAGCTTTAGAAACAGTAGCTTGGAGTTTAAATGGCAACCAAAGGCTAGCTGATCTATCACGGTCGTCATTGCCCTCCAGACCCACTATATATCATGTAAGGCGCATGAAAGAGTCTTACTCAAGGTCATGCAACAAGTCCAGCAGAGACATCTGTGTATCTAGCAGCATTTACTTACTGATTGCTGTATGCTGCCACTGTTCTAGGCACTGGGAGATGAGCAGTGAATAGACAAAGCTTCCTGTACATATGGAGCTTATCCTCTACTTAAGGGAGTGAGGTAATGCATACTGCAGAATCACAGACTCCTGCTGCATATGGGAAGCTGTGATGTCTTTGATTCTGATGCTTTGTTTCACGTAGGAGATTGCCAGTAACTATATCCCTGGCATCTTCTGAGACCCACCAGTGGCAAGTTGCTGAGTGGAACTCCAAGATGAGTGGGTAGCCAGTCTCACTAGTATACAATCAGTGTAAGAGACTTAGGAAACTCAGTCCCTTCTATCACTGACTATATTCTTAGGCATATGGAATTATATTCCTTCCTCCTTCCACTCAACATAGTACCCCAGCTGGCATTGTTGACGGTGGATTACAATCTTTTCTCGTACAGATGAAACACTTTGATGACTCCTCATCTCTCTTGAGGCATTGTGACAACTTAAGAGTTCAACTTGAGCTTCTTTCACATCCATCCCATCACCTGCCTAGCCACATCTACCCTCCCACACACTGACTTTAGCACTATCTTCAATTCCTATGTCAAAGTAGTCACCACTGTTAGTCAACACTGGCTAGCATCACTCTGTGCAGAACCCTCATACCCAATGTCCGCCTTCTTATCTTCACTCAAATGTTACTTACCTTGGTCATGTACCCTGAAACTGCACCCATTCCACCCACCACACCTTAGCACTTCTTGGTTGTTTTTTTTTTTCTCCTTACCACTTTATCTTGTTATTGCACCATAGTTTTTCTGACTATTTATTGTTTGTGCCCTTCACCATCAACAAGGTACACATCAGTAGTGATACGCTCATTTTATTAATTGCTCTTCCCCGATATACAGAATAGTGTGCCTGAACCAAGGCAGCACTTAATGAATAGTTATCAACTTAGTGAGTAAGTGACAGTTAAATAGTCCCTTTTAAGCTAGTGATCAACTTTCAGGTTCCTTATGGGCTGGTTTTTCCTCAGTTTTAATTGCTAAAGATACCTTCAGTTATCTCTTGGATACTGAATTCCTCAACTGATTGGAATCTTTCTCAGCCACAAGTTTGTTAATAATTCTGTTTCCCTGCCTGAGGTCATTGCACACTCTTTCACTTTGGATACAATCTAACCCCACCCTCCTCATCCATTTGCTTAATTACGATCAGCAGAAAGTCAAGACACACACTGGCTACAATACCTATGCTTAGGCAGATAAGTTAAAAGTAAGGGAAACAGGTATATTTTAGCTTGCGAGCTAGAGTTGATTCATGTTTACATTGAATTCACACCAGAATCCTGTTAATACTTCCAAGTTGTCTCAGGGGTTCATAGAATGAAAGAGTAACTAACTTGATCCCTCAAACAGCATCGGGTTCAGTGGTTCAGAAACCTAAGAAGCAATGGATATTAGCAGCACACCGGCAATATCATATTGTTGTAAGGGGGTCACTTGCTTGTTTCCTGGCTGCTCAGACCAGAAATAACCACATAGAAACTGCTATATTGGTTAAGTCACTGCTTGGCCCATTAGTTCTAGCTTCTTATTGGCTATCTCTTACATCTTAATTTAACCCATTTCTAGTAATCTGTGTATTGCCACATGGCTTTGGCTTACCAGGTAAAGTTCCGTCTGGCTCCGGCAGAGCTACGTGACTTCTCCTTGACTTCTCCTTCTTCCTCCCAGCATTCAGTTTAGCTTTCTCTGCCTAGCTAAGTTCTGCCCTGTAACATGAGGGCTGACTTGTTGGGGTTTCTGTCCCACCCAGTACCCCAACAAGCTGGCCCTCATGTTACAGATGGCGCCCAGATGGGGATAACTGAATCCACACAAAGCCTGAGAAAGCTTGGGAAAGAATAGAGTAAAGCATGTTTTCTTGGTAGCAGCAATTTCTCGGGTCTACTCTGCTTGCTAGAGGCAAGCAAATGCCCTCATCTAAGAGAGGCTTCCTAACTCAGCTTTAGCTGCAAAACCCTGTAGCTCTTTTAAGAGGTCCTGCCACGAAACACTTAAACGGTGTTGATGAAAAGCTGAACGCATGCTTTTCGGTTTTTAACCATAGCAGGAAAAAAGTTGTGCCATTTTAAAATGTCGGCTTTCTGGGCCATCCTGCCAGGGCAAACTCTGACTCTTTCAGGCAGGCAGTCCGACTGAGTGTGGTCTGTGAGCAGAATGCTGCAGCTTGCTTGCTGGCAGGGACCTTGAACTGCGACAGAGTTGTGGCAATAAAAATGGCTCCAGTGGTCCTCTGCCATGAGGCTGAAAAGCTAAGGAATAGGCTAGATCTAACCATCAAAGCCATGACTCTCCATATTGCTTAGTAAATTAAAGGCTCATGTAGTCAGAAAAGGAGAGATATACAGTAAAGAGAGATTCAAAGATGAAGAAAACCACTAAATGGTTTACAGTGCGATAAAAATATATGCAGCCTAAAAGTTAAAGTTCTTAAAGTAAAAAAAGAAAGAAAGAAAGAAAGTAGTTGGGTGTGGTAGTACACACCTTTAATCCCAACACTTGGGAGGCAGAGGTAGATTGACCTCTGTGACTTCAAGGTGTGGTAGGACACGCCTTTAATCCCAAAGCCTGGGAGGCAGAAACAGACAGATCTCTGTAAGTTCAAGGTGTTGTAGCACACACCTTTAATCCCAGCACTGGGGAGGCAGAGACAGAGGGATCTGTGTGAGTTCAAGGACAGCCT